GTCTATGTGTACGGAGTGGCAATTATAGCTACGTTAAGAAAATAAACACGTGTTTTGTGTGGGAGTGCTGAGATTTGTGAGTGATCAACATCCCCGGGTGATCAACATCCCGGTCAGCTAGCTTACAGGGGACTACATTCCAGTCGTTCCAACCTAGAGCATCAGCGTTGTCTTCTCAACATCGTCGTAAAGTGCGGACCCCAACTTCAACGTTCTGATAGATAAGATACAACCACACTGTGATAGACATCAAGCTCTCACCCACCTTGGGGACATCAACCCCATTTACGCATGTATGTTCTTGCTGTCAGATATCACCTTGATACTATCAGTTGTAATCACGGGAAGTTTTATGTCTCCGCCGTGAGCATTCGCTTGCCTAGGATGCCGAAGAGCGGTATCCAGGGCTTACCCCGCGCATATGCCCCGCACCTGCATCCAGTTATCAGGACCTGACCAACCACGGCATCTGCTTTGACGTCGTAAACGCCGGATAGTGGTGGTCGGGCGATTTCCGATAATGCTCTTGAACAGATATGGTTACGTGTTAGACAGATAGAGTTACGTGTTAGATCCGAGGTAAAGGAAGTCTATCTCGCCTCGTACGAAGGCAGTCACTGCATCGCGACTTCCATTTGTTGACACTACAGAGAACGTGCCTTCTTCCAGCTGTCACTTCCAAGGCTTTCTATTGACCTCTTCTCCATTGTACAATCCCCACTTCTTGTCAACTTTACAGCTCAAGAATCACAAACATGTCTCCTCCGTCGGCAATTGAGCCCCAGGCAGGCGACGAGACCAAGCCCAACACGGTTGCCCCGAACGAGCCTGGTCTGAACCAGAAAGATGGAAAGGCGGAGATGCTTAAATTCCCCAAGCCGCCAAAGTTTGACGATCCGTACAAAGAGCGCGCATATCTGAAGGGCCGACTTGCGGCTGCCTTCCGCATCTTTGGCAAATATGGCTTTGACGAAGGTGTGGCTGGTCACATCACGTTGAGGGTAAGTAGAGCACATAACAGGCATACGAGATACTAAGACCATATAGGACCCTGTAGATCCGACAACATTTTGGGTCAACCCATTCGGTGTTGCTTTCAGCTTGATCAAGTCTTCCGATCTCATCCTTGTCAATGATAAAGGCGAAGTCATCGACGGTGGAGAGTGCCGACTGCTGAACACAGCAGCCTATATGATACACCATGCTGTCCATGACGCGCGCCCCGATGTCATCGCTGCAGCACACTCGCACTCCATCTACGGCCGCACGTTCTGCGCACTGGGTCGCAAATTGGACACCATCACCCAAGACTCGTGCGCGTTCCACAACGACCACGTTATTTACGAGTCGTTTAACGGCGTCGTACTAGCCGCGGAGGAGGGCAAGAACATTGCAAAGTGCCTGGGCGACAAGAAGGCGGCGTTACTTCAGAACCACGGCCTGTTGACCGTGGGCAAGAGTGTGGAGGAGGCGGTGTTCTGGTTCATAAGCATGGAGAAGTGCTGTCAAGCACAGCTGATGGCGGACGCGGCGGCGGCGGGACGAGGCGGAGAGACTGTGAAGATTACGGAGGAGGACGCGGTCTACACACACAAGACGATTGGGAGTACGCTGGCCGGGTGGTTCAGTGCGAAGCCGTTGTTCGACGTGATACACAAGGAGACAAACGGAGATTATCTCGAGTAGGAGTGTTTAGTCAATCCAGATCAGTCATCACATGCAAATTGGTGGCGTTGCTCGTAGGGCCCCACCGGCGTCTTAACTCCGCCGGCGGAAGACGAGATGACATATGGGGGCGCGACAAGTTTGTTTTTCTGTTTTGTAAACAAGACGTGCGTAAACGTATCACGGCGGAGAAACTGCAACGGAGCGGAGCGGGGCGGCGAAACACGCAGGTGGCCCTGGGCTCGCTCCAGCTGTGTTTGGGCGAGGGACGAGGGTGGCATGCTCGCTGCAGTTGTGTTTGCGGGCGACGATGGTGTCATAGCGTTCTGCAATGCAGGGTCGCAAACTTACAGTTGAACCCTGGAGCATCACTTGACGACTCGCAGCTTTGCCGCCGCCTACTCGACTTTTCTTTTCACGTCCTCCCAATCCTCGTACATAAAGCCCACCAACTTGCTTATTCGTATTGGAGGCGCATCACATCTGCCACAGTCGCACAGGCAAGCTGACTCTTCCTGCACGCAAGACGCGAGCCATCTTTAGCGGGGCATGGCAAAGGGTCCTGCAGTCGTAGTCGTCGCCAGGTACCGTCTCACCCACCCTTCACGGCTCCACATTCCGGCTAGATCGCTAACATCCTGCGCAGACATGGCGCGCGTCTCGATGCGGCCGACAAAGCATGGCATCTCTCTTCACCGACGCCCTACGACCCGCCTCTCACTTATGGCGGGTGGTCGCAGGCAAAGGCACTTGGCCAGCGCATAGCGGCACTGCTGCACGAGCGAGATATCCAGCAGGCAGAGGATGCGAAGAACGCGACCAGCAACGACCCCGCACATCTCGACCTGAGCAAGCTGAGCATCTCGAAAGAAGGGAAACCGAAGAAGAAGAAGCGCAAGATCGTTATACACTCGAGCCCTTTCCTACGATGCGTCCAGACGAGCACGGCAGTAGCAGCGGGCATCTCGCAATACCATGCTCCGACCACGCCACAATTGGGCGTGCCTACACCCCCCTCCAAAGACAATAATGGCTCGCTGGTACCCTCTGCGAAGAAGGCGCCGCGCACCAAGTCCACCTCGTCGCAGCCCCGAACCTTCGAACCGCTCGCCGACCCCAATCTCGAGATACTACCGCGACCCCACACAGGCCCGGAGAGGGTGTTGCTACGCATCGATGCCTTCCTGGGCGAATGGCTGTCTCCCGAATACTACGCTGACATCACAGCGCCGCCAAACTCGACCATGATGGTGGCAGGCGCCAAAGCAGATCTACTGCGGAGAGGCGACTACATACAAGAACAGCCAAACCCGAACAGTACCAAGGGCAACTTTCCCGGCGGTTGGGGGTCTGGGACCAGCACACCCACCACTGGCAAGAGCGCTGGTACAGCCATGGGCAGTCTGGCACAGTTTGCGCCGCTGCGTGAACGCTCCAGCAGTTACGCTGGCCCACTGGGCCTCGAAAGAACGCCGTCAAGAGAAGCAACCGCATCACTAGCAATGCCCATACAAACGCCAAAGCCCACTGCTGTACCCAAACGCATTTACCAGCCGCCAAACCCTTCATACTCTGTCTCTCCGGCCGATCCGATACCGCGAGGCTACGTCGCGCATGCCCAAGAAGCCTGCGTTAAAGTAGACTTCCAATGGGACAGTATGCGTCCACCACAAAACTGGGGCGATGGCGGAGAGTACGGTGATGAATGGAGCACAATGCACAAGCGGTTTAGAAGAGGCCTTGCGGGCATGATGGAGTGGTACAGAGTCCACGGCACAGCGCCCCCGAAGGATCAATTTCCTGGCTTCATGTTTAAGGAACCCTTGCGCCTAACACCGCCGCCCATATCGCACGCCAAGTCAGACCCATTCCCAAACTTCAGCGACGATCCAAATGCGGATGATGAGGAAGAGCTGGTTTTGATTCTCATAACTCATGGAGCAGGGTGCAATGCTCTGCTAGGTGCCATGACGAACCAGCCCGTCTTGATGGACATTGGTCTAGCATCGCTTTCCATGGCCGTTCGGAGAGACGAGCCTAAAAAGACACCCGCACCTGCCACAATACATCAGCGGAGACTTTCGGTAGCGGATCCCGGCATGTCAGATACCTACGACATGAAGCTCTCAGCTTCAGTCGATCATCTGCGGCCTGGTGTTGACCCTTCGAAGCCGCTATCTGCGCAGAGGCAGACACAATCTCCAGCCATCCTAGCAAGCCCATCGTTAGACTCGCGGCGAAGATTCACGGGATCGTCGACGACTAGCAGTCCACTTGACTCGCCCTTCTCGCTCGGTGAGCCATACAGAAACAGTCTGAGCTCGTTGGGAAGCATGCGGCGAACTTTGAGCTCTGGATCGAATTCCAGATTCATGCAAAGTGCGACAAGCGGGACTGCGTCTCCAGCAGGCGGACTATGGGGAGGTTCAGGGACAAGCACACCGGCGACCGAAGCGGACATGGCCCTCAACTTCTCAAACCAGCATCCACAATCAAAGGCTGCTCCTAATACTTCCACTGCATCCAAATCCAAGAGCAACTCGATTGCACAGATGGACGGTGCATCTGACACAAGCAACCACCTGACAAAATTGGACTCTAAAGAAGAAAGGGAGGTCAGCGATAAACCCACTCCTCTAGTCAGTGCTCAAGTCCGCAAACAGAGCGCTCCGACAGCATCTGGCGGTCTTTGGGGCGCGAAAGTAGCCCCAAAGAGCAATACTGGGCTTTGGGGACCACCAAAGTTGGATGACGTGTATGAACACCGTCAAGGGCCTAAGAGGCGCTGGACGGTCACCGAGAGGGAGGAGCCTTGAATGTTTTGTGTTGGTGTGTTATTTTTGTCTCTAGCATATAGCGATTGTCTACTCCGAGTCATTACTGTATGTGTCGATCGAGTCATTGTTAGCATTAGCGGCGGGCGGGTAATGGCGTTTGATAAGTAACGGCTACGGCTATGAATGAAACATACCACTCAAGAGTAAACGAGATCTGTGAACGTATGCATGTTTGTACGATCAACACGCGTTGTGCTCCGCCTAATCTCGCCCGATGACTGCCATGCCTAAGGCCTGGAAGGCTTGGAAGTTCCACAAACAGCAAGTGACGCAAGCTTGTCTCACGGGATCGTCACCAGCTGCAGAACGTTGCATTACCTATTACAAAAGCATCAATCCTGGAGTCTTTGGTCGGAATACGTAAATACCGCACCCGAGCTGCATACACGTTTTAAGAGCACACCTTTGCATCTTGCATCGTCCCGCCGTTCATAAACCCCGTTCCAACCCACACTTTTTGCATTCGCGACAACCGCGCTCGCCGCGACAGGCAGCCCCAGCGCACTTCGAGACCTTAGCAACCCCACCGTTCGTCCCCACGTAACACGCTAAATAGATCATTCGCATTTGCGCGGGAACCGCAACACGGCATCTGATAGGCAGCGGTGGTCGGGCCGATAGATATCCAGGCGGGCACTTCACACGCAGGCACACTTAGTGCAATCCCACAAGGAAGGTTGGCTTGCATTGACACTTTGGTGGGCGAACTATTCACGCTTTATCCGTGAACAAGTTTGCTGCAAGTCGGTTTCAACCATGTCTGTCAAGTTAGTATCCTCTCCTCCCTCTCTCTTCTTTCCGTCTATACTCTCTCCGTCCTGACCTGGTGGTGTTTGCTTGCTGCGCTTCTTGCCCCTCTACTACCCCGCGGATTGTGCATGTAGCTTTTGGGCGTACTTTTGAGGCAACTTTCATTTCAGCATAGCAGAATGGGGTTCAAGACGGAAAAGATGAAGAAGACGAAGCCTAACCGCAAAACTAGTTGGGTCATGCTCGCTGAGAATGGCGGGTACACACCTCTCCCTGGCGAACAGACACTCTACCAGTCTCCTCCCCGAACCACACTCTCGCTACAGACTAGCCATCGGAATCACCCCAGCGAGTCGTACTCGCAGCAATGCAAGTCGGGCGTTGTCTACCTCACAAATCGACGGGTATGTATACAACCTCACCATTTTGTGGACCTTGCCGACTAACCTTCACATTTAGATGATCTACCTCCCCGTCACCCCTACACCACAACTCCAATCCTTCGCCGTACCCATCCTCAACGTCACAGATTCCCGCGTAACAGCACCCTGGTTCGGCGCAAACAAATGGGAAGCCATCATCCAGCCCGTCCAAGGTGGCGGCATACCACCACAGCACGCCGAGCTAGACCTGGTTATGGAGTTCAAGGAAGGCGGCGCGTTTGACTTCGCAAGCATATTCGAGCGGTTAAAGGAGCGGTTACGGCAAGCTGTCGAGGTAGCGCGGGAGAGTGGTGGTGACATGGAAGATGGAAGCAGAGGCGTTGGCGGTGTCAACATGAACAACGTACACCTGGAAGACCTACCTGCATACGAGGAGAGCAGACAACACGCCAGAGTTCCAGAGCCTCCTCTTAGCCCGCCTTTGGATGGTTCTGCATTCGGTACCGGCGGTCCTGTTATTGCGGCGCCCACGCCATCAAGCCCACAAGCATCCAGTCCGTTATCGAGCCCGCGAACACAACAGGAGCATTTTGAGCCTCCGTCAGACCCACCGCCAGGATATGAGGAGGTTCAGAGAGGTAGCATTGCAGACGAACTGGAGAGACAGGTGATGAATAATCCATGGCAGGAAGAAGAAGCAAGGCGGTGAGCCGAAGAATATTTTCATGATTAGATGGATGTGTTTGAGCATGGCGTTCCGGGGCAGTCGGCTTTACATGGCCGTAGACATGTCTTGTCACATTATCTCAATATTCCGCTTGGTAGACTTCTTGAGGAACAACTTATAGTCGGTGTGTCCGTTGGCTTTAGACGGTCGCCAATACCATATTCTTCACCTCGGATACCTGCACGTCCACTAGTTGGTGCGACATGACTTCGGTCAGCATCAGCAACTCAGCAGTCAGCTCCACGAAGCAGCACATGATCAGGAAACGTTTCTAAACTGCGCAGATTGACATGTGAAGCGTCCGCAGACACCCCAGCCGCCCGC